CTTCTAGTCTACTAGCCTATTCTTGCTATGCCCAGCAGCTCCTACACTTGCGGAGATAATGAGATGATTTCTGCTGTATCCCTCCAGCTGGCCAGATGAATACCCTAGGCTCTGCAGCAAGCAAAGACTAAGATAACATTTTGTAATAGTACAGGAGCTAAGCAAGAAAACCAGACTGTCCCAGAGCACCCAAGCCAACTATCTCAGCAGCGTGGGAGATCTTCAGCTACATCATAGCAGAAACAACGATTGCATTGCCCAGAAAAAGTGAATCCTTTACCGTGGAAATAGCAATCGCTCAGAGGCACACAGCACTGTGATGGATCTGATGCAATTTAAACATGTGAGAGTCCAATTCTGCTCTCTTACACCATGAGAAGCCAAGATTAACTACTGATGTCAATGGAGAGTTTCTGGAGGAAAACCACTCTAAAAGCAAGGACAGGACAAAGATATCACTCACAAATAGCAGGGGTTATTAAAAAGATTGGCACCAATGTAAGTATACTGATGCAATTTCTCCACCTTCCTTTTCTTTACAATTGCCACCAAAGAGCCAGCTAAAGCAGGGAGCTGTGCCTGGGGATGACCACCCATAGTACTAGAAATTCACATTTGGCTACTGATAGCAAAATACTACAATAGAAAGAAAGGCCTGGGACAGTTATTGACTGTTAAGGCCAGAAGGGACCGTTTCACAGGCAGGAGAACTGCTTTCACACCACTGTCCAGATCCCACTAATTAGTGTTTCCTGAAAACCTTGTTTAGCAACACCAGAGAAAGGAAAGCACACTGCTTCTCAAAACACTTGCTCTCCTACTAACTTATTCTTTTTAAGGAAGAGTATTTAAAGCTGGGCAAATTCAAGCTAAATACAGTTCAATCTTCCAAAAGCCCAATAATTGTAACAGTCTGCCTGTTCCGTGACCAGAGATGCTGCAGCATGAAGAAGTAGTAAATTACAAAACTCAGCTTGCTCTCCCCAAGGGTTGGAATGATCATTATAATCAATCTGTTGTTCAACATTTAATCTTCAAACAGCCCAAACAAGTGATTTATTACTAGTCTCCATCTGAAACAAAAGCACCCAAGGGGTATAGGTACATCTTTCATGTGGACTGAAGAGCTATAATTAAACACTGATGCTTAAGCAAGCAAGAGAGCACTCCTGAGCAATAGAAGTGAAATTCCATTTACTAGTTGCAGCTAAGTAAATAAACTGACCTAAGATGACTTTTCCCAGTTGTGAAAAAGAATGACTTTTTGACCTTAGCACATGGCTGCAGTAATTAGAAGCAGATGAATTCTGTTTATAAAATCAGGAGGTGCATTCCCCTTTTCCCAAAGTGTGAACAAGCCTCAAGGCATCACTAAATACAAGCTGGGTTTCAGATACAGTGGGAACCTGAGGGACGTGAAGGAACACAGTGTCCAAATAAATTTGACCCGAAATATAGATTGTATGTTGTCCTGGGTTCAGCAGTAGCAGTCACTTGTGGGGCCAGAGGTGAAAGAGTGCTGCATGTCATAAACTGCTTTCCCCTCTACCCCAGAATGAGATTTAACTTCTGGAGCAACATTATCTTACAAACCCTGCATGTCTAGCAACATGTACCATTAACACCTAAAACCAAACAGACTGACCACAGGGCACTTGTTTAAACCACGACATATGCAAACAAGTTTCCAATTTTACACCATTAGAAAGGTTTCTCCATTACACCCAGACAGAAGCTATTCAAGAAAACTACCTCCAACTACAGTGTTCAGAGCAAAACCTTAGAAAAGATTTGATTACATCAAAAGATAACAGAAAGGTTCAAATGATATACAATTCAAATAGCATTTGATATTGATTATGTCTTCCTTGGGAGAATTGACGCAAACAAAGAAATCTGATTTATAGTGCAGAATATGTTAGAAATCATAAACTAAGTTTTCAGCATCACAATGGCTACACATCTGACCTGAAGGTCAAGGAAGGAGAATATTGCTGGTTTTAAAATTTTGACCTGATTACATTTACAGATATGCTAAAAATATATTCACATGGTACTATTAGCCTAATCAAAAACTTTGAACCTGGAGTCAGAGAAGGAGGTAGAGTTGCCAAGGGGCTTTTCTCTTGGAAGCACATTCACCAGAGATATTAGGTGCAGCTTCACTGTGGGGCCAGAGGTGAAAGAGTGCTGCATGTCATAAACTGCTTTCCCTCTACCCCAGAATGAGATTTAACTTCTGGGGCAACATTATCTTACAAACCCTGCATGTCTAGCAACATGTACCATTAACACCTAAAACCAAACAGACTGACCACAGGGCATCAGACACTTCTCAACAGGGCAAAGCAGCAGCTAGACCCAGAGCCACTCAATGCCTTTATGAAGGACCACAGGTCAAGCACCCACTTGTTCTTGGAGCCACAGGCAGCAGGTTGGAAGCAGGCCCAGAGCAGGCAGTGCAGAGCCTTGTGGTATAGGCAAGCATCTCCTGTAAGCACCTCTTATGGGGCAGAGACAAGGGGATAAACTGAGTGGCTCTGGAAAGGCAACATAAAACTTGCAGAATCTGAGGTAAATTGAAGTCCTGCCACGTAACTTGTTTCAGTGTCAAACTTGACACAAAAAATTCAATTTCACCTGCCTGGCCAAGGAGCTGACACCTCTGTATGCTTGGCCACATAAGCAATGCGGTAAGCCTGCAGAGAAAACATGGGTCAATCCATTAATTGTGACACCTTGTGAAGAAGAGCACTATGGATTTTCAAGTCTGACTACTTTTGCAGGGAGAGCAGAACAAGCTCCTGCACATAAAGGGGTCTGACACATTCAACACTGACATTAAGCTGTTGCTACACTGATAATTTGGGAAACTGGCAGAATTCTAACTCCAGTGATTTTCTTAGGGTTTTTTGCTAGCTGCAGTAAGAACTGGGTCATCGGCCCACAGCATTTAAAGAAATACCAGTTCACAACAGCTTTCACCCCTCAAAAACATTTATTCATTAAATGCTCCAGGTCAGTTTACTTTTGGGCTATTAAAAATAATACTTCAGAGCTCATCCACATCCCATATCATTAACTGATTCTCTGTAAGCTCTCAGTTATTCTTAAATACCTAAACAATCGTAAAACACAGGGTGAAGCACTGTGTTGTGTGCCAGCTTCTGAAAATAAGCACTATACTTCAAACACGTTGATAAATGGCTTGGATGCATTCTCAGCAAACTGCAGATGAAAGATTCCTGGGCAAGACTCCTACTGAATTTCCTGGTATTTTGGAGAGGGTGTGTATAATATGGAAAGCCTCATCCGAGACTGTCTATAGATGCACAGTAAAGTACTGCAGTTCAACACACACGCGTGCACACAGGAGAGAAGAGTAAGGTGTTAGGCTGAGGTGCTACAACAAAAAAAAAAAAAATCCAAACATTTCATTATTAAAGTTTCATTGGTAACAGTAAAAATAACAAAGAAGAAGTTCATAACAAGCAAATGAAATGTGGTCCTGAAAGTGGTGGAAAATGGGGGTATTTTTAAATATACTGCAGCAAATTTAGGTGCAGAGCAGTTGGTTTCTCCATGCTGCAAACTACACAACATGGTCCCCTTCCATCAGAAATTACAGAGGTATCTGGACAAAGTTCACAGCTGCAAAAGGCACACACTAAACACTAACCAACATTTTCACCTCACACCACACATCCTGTGCCAGTCTTTGAACCATTCTTTAAAATGCAGCAGCCAATTCATAAATCAGGTTTACAATACTGCAGTGAAACAAACACGCACACACACAGCACGAGACAGGTAGCTGTGATACTACATTGAAAAAGGTCATGCAGAAAGTTGGAGGAGATGTTACTGATGCTAGAAAGGGTTTAACAGAGACAGCTCCAAGATAGATGTGTCTTTTTAAAGGGGGGGGAAGGAAAGGAAAGAAAAAAATGCTCTCAGCACTTCAAGAAGGAAGCTGAAGCACAGAAGATGCTGCTCAACACTAAGAAGAACACTTTGGGGTAATGGTCTTTTAAAATTTGTTACAGAAGCATATAAGCCCCATTTATCTCTCTTTAATCAAAGCTCTCCAATGTACAAATGTGCTGTATGAAAGAGGCAGGTATAGTCTCTTGCAACAAGACTACAGTCTATGAGGAAAGAAATGGGGGAGGAAGACAGGAGGAAGGAAGACATTCTTAGGGACAAGAACTGTCTTATGTCCCAGGGCAGAGATCTGCCCTGCAGATCATCCCACCACAGACCCTGCTTCTCCCAGAACATCTGACTGTGGATGCTTCCATAGTACATATCCACATGCCCCATATCCCTCAGTTCATTTGCCAAGGTATTTTTCTCCCTTGTCAGTGTGTCACTAAACAGTATTATTTTGATTAAATTTTCTATATTTCAAGCTTATGGGAAGCCACAGAGGGGTAAATGATTTCTGACTTGAGTAATACCAGCTAACATTAAAGGGCATTTACCTACTTTGTTTGTTAGATGAGGATAAGGACCACTTACTTACTAGAAACAGTGACAAATCTTCAACTTTATTTCCATTGTAAGCACTGAATTGTCCTGACAAGAGGCAATAGCATTTCTATCACAGCTTTCATTAATGAAGGGTTTCTCAGACCATGGACTGATTTTCTAATGGAACTAGATATACTGCCTCACATGGGTGAACCATTTCGTTTGTTAGCACACTGCATAGTACAAGGCAGATCTTCAACCTCTTGATTCAACTCTGAAGCATACTCAAAGCTTGCTTCCCCACATCTAAAGAGGGAAGCTAATCATTTGCAGAGTGCTCTTTCTTGTTCATCTCTGTCATTGTCTTGCAGGACTGGAAAGGGAATGAAAAATCTGTCCTATCAAAAAAGGTGCTTTTTACAATTTCTCTGACAGACAAGTACTGAGATGGAGAGAACATCTGTAATGCAGAAATAGAATTATGTTGTCCATCAGTCTCTGGGGACAAATGGAAGTTATGAAAACACTTTTTATCAAAGACATCCAAAACCAGCTAGATAACACTTAATATTGGTACATCACATGAAAAATTAAATCATTTTAGAACAGCTCCATATGCTGTACAGCTCCTTGCTACACTGACATGGGAAAAATAGAAATGAAGAACTGAAATTGCAAATGAGGACAAACTCTCCTCATAGCAGTTTTCATGAAGGTAAGAAACATCCTTTATGTATCAGCATGTTTCCTCCAAGGGTTGCAGCAACACTGATGGTTTCCCGCTCCTGACAGCAGGGTCAGGGCCTTTTCTCTTCTGGTTTTCACGATGTTTCCCGTGGTTGTGCTCCAAGACAGTGCTGTCCATGCTCCAAGCCGGTCAGCCACTTCGGCTCATCTCAAACCAGGACCTTTGTGTCAGAAATGCTCCTTTTTTCTCCCACTGGTCAAACGCACTGAAGACAACTGTCCACCGCTAGGACTAGGGGAAAAGAAATCAGCAGGTCATATTAGAGATATCATCCATGAACATGGAGGCTCCATTTCAAACAGGAGGTGCCTCAAGGTCTTGCAAGAAATGCCACTAGAAGGTAATCTTAAAATCTGATCCGGAAGAAAGGGTTTTATGTGTCTGGAGAAACTAGGAAACCTGAAGCAAGAGTCTGCATAACCCTTCTATATGTTTTACATAACCACCATTAAGCCCCCAGATACACAGTCCCATTCTGAAGCTCTCCAAAACCAGATATTTTCATTTTGTATTTTAACAGTCATTTCAGGTGTGACAAACTTTCCCAGCTGTCATGAGTCAAATTCCTTATTAACATCCAAGTTTGCAAAACTGGATGACTAACATTTTCCTCCTCTCTGTTATGCAATGGTAAACACCTACATGTGGCCTCTTCCACCCAGGTGAGTGACAACATTGATTCAAGTTCTTAGGCACATGCAGCCATGGTTTCCACATCAAGTTTTTCCCAGTGAGATCAGTACATACTCTAAGCAAATGTTGCTGAGTCATGGGATTAGTGATGTTTCCCAAATATTAGATTGGTGGTGACTTGAGAAAACCTTAACTTTCAAATTGTCAATCCTCACCTAAAGCCTAGTAAGATGTGAAACATCTTCACTGCTATTTGGATCCTGGATCTGTAAAAGCAGGGCTTGTAATCTCAGTTTATTAAATATGGAGCAGTTGCAAGCACTTCCTTTCTCTTTTTCCTCTGTTAGGTACAAAGCAGTTTATTTTAGCAGAAGTTTGGGGGCTGGTTTTTCTGTTTGTTACTGGATTTTGGGGGTTGTTTTGTTACTTGGTTTTTTTTGGTTGGTTGTTTTTTTTAAAGAGAGGACCTTCTGTGCTGCATTTAAACTTAGCTTGCAGCAACAGTGCTGGATGAAACTCAAAACTAAATTCAAGGGGAAAGATGCAGAGGAGAGGAGTCAGAAGTTGCACGAACAGGCAGCTTCTCTTGAGCCAGATGACCCAAAGCACACTAGGCAATTCTGACAGCAGAAGGGAGGTACAGTTTCCTTAACCCCCCCATTTTTACCCTTATAACCCACAAACAGGGTCTACACTGAAACTGAAAGACACTCTGCAGCTTTCAGTACTAAAATCAGAACTAACAGTCTGAAGAAAAGCAAGGAAATAATTTTTCCAAAGTCCAAACTGAACTGAGGGTTTTTTTTGGCAGACAGCAGGATCACTGCAGGTGATTCTTTACAGCAAAAGGGGATTCCCTTGTATAAACATGGCATGAAACTGTCAAAGCCAGTACCAACTGGTACCAAAAGAAATCTAACAGCAGATAAAAGTTTTCCAGCAGAAGTAGAACACATTCAGTGATATCAAGGCATCAATTCTGCCTGTATTTTCCTAGGGGGCTGCTGAAACACAGTTTATTTTAATGTTTAAACATTTGCTTTCAATGCATTGCACTGATATTTATAAAAACCTCAAGCTCTTATGAGTACATAGAATCACAGAATAGTTAGAGTTGGAAAGGACCTTAAGATCATCTAGTTCCAACCCCCCTGCCATGGGCAGGGACACCTCACACTAAACTGTGTCACCCAAGGCTCTGTCCATGACACTGACTAGCACTAAACACACTGGCTCAGTTCTGAGTGCTTTCCATCCTAAGCTCATATTCAGCTAGATACCTCTATTCCCTTCATCAAGCACTTGCCTTCGAAAAATGTGAAAGTAGGTAAGATCTAGTGGCTGGTTCCTTTCTTTCTGTGTACAAATCAGAAGGCAACTTGGTAAATTACGATATTAAGGGAAAAAAACAAACAAGAAAGGTCTTTACCTTTGCTAGACTACACTTCCGCCTTGATGAAAGGCAGCTCATCCTCAAGGCTTCTCTCGTCTGTAGATTTTAAAACACACATTAAAGGCAACATTTTGTCAGAGTGTAGAAAATAATCCAGAATAAGGGCTGAAGTGACCCAAGTACCTTTCTGTCCAGAAGTGTCCCAAACAACAGGATGAAGAATCCCTAAAAAAATCGCAAAACCAGTTAACAAAACCAGCATGACCACATAATGTTCCTTAAATGCTTCCAGATCCTACTTTATATTTTATATAGATATTGATCTCACCACTGACTTAGATAACAACAATGTGCAAAATGAGTTTATCCACCCAGGTCACACGGGCTCTCTGGGAATGTCAGGAATGGATATCTAACCCATGCTAATTCTCATTAGGAACTGGACTGATGGGTTACATACCAGGACTTTCTCAACCCACTCAGTAGCAGTGTTAGCTAAGAAGAGCTAAGGCAGACTGGGTATACAACAGCACATTAGGTAACAGTGGATGTTTATACTGATGAGTTAACCAAAACCATCTTCAATGACAGTGGGAATTTTCTGCATACTTGTTAATTGAGAAGGATGAGACATCTTTGCAGTTACTGGACATTAACCAGTGTATTTTATGCTTAACACGAATTTATAGTCTTAATTCCTCATCACATTTCACACCAACTAGTTTGTTCCATTACCCATCTGAATTTCCTGTCAATGCAGCATGCCTAGTGCACGCACAACGTAAAACAGTCGAGTCAAAAGGAAAGCTCAGATCTCATTTTACATGCACAATGCATGCTGCCAGCCCCATTTTGATCTGCTACCTTTTCCCAAGCTCACAGTCTAGACACACACTTATGGTTTAAACCCAGACAGTAACTAAATCCCAACACTATTCCCAGTCTCACAGAGTTTACCTGGAAGGCGTTCAGTAGTGCAAATGTAACGTGGAATGCCAGGGAGCGACTGTCGACAATCGTTGCTAATCCAAACCCCCAGGTAAGACCCAGAAGAGGTGTCAGAAGGGCAACATTTTTGCTAATTCGGATCATGCTGCTCAAATCCTGTGACTTGCAGCCTTCTCCAACAGAGGGTCGCCCAGTCTTCACCACAACCACTACCACCACCACCACATTCACAACAATGATACTCAGAGCAGGTACAACAAAGGCCAAAAGGGCTTTTGTCTCATACCAATTGAGCCAGCAGGCTCCACTCCTTAAATACCCATTTTTTGGTTCAGTAATAGCAACAGTGAGGATAGATATGACCAAGGGACATCCATATCCAATAAAGAATGCTGTAGCTATGAATGCAGATCTTGTTATCTTAAAAAAAATAAGTAATAATCCATAGAGAATCAAGAGGCTGAGGGTAAACATCCAAAAAAACAAGGCAAGATAAAAAAAGTGAAGGAAAAAAGTGGCTGCTACACACAGCTTGTAGTTTAGAGCTGTACTGTGCACAATAGCAGCCAAGATGAACAAAACATCAGCAACGAGAAGCGATGTAGCAATGTTGATCAAACAAAAATGGCGCATGTAAGTTATTTCAGTTTTTGTTACATGATGCCAGACAACAGTCTCGATGATAAGGCAGAGAACCAAGCTGAAAATAGAAAGGCCTAACCCTACACGTGTAATGTAATCCAGCACTGCATTTCGCAGCATGGTGGGGGACATCAAAATGGAGAAGGATTTGAATGTCCGATAGTGATGCTTGCAGATGCAAACAACACTGCTGATGTTGTCAGACTTCATTTTGCATGCCCTGTTATCCCATCTCCTTTCAGTAGAGTGCCACCCTACGCACTGAGCCTTGACATTCTCAAGTTTATTCACCTTTTCAAAGATGAGCAAAACGTGACGGAGCTCTTCTGGCAGAGACACCGATAACACCATTCCATTCACAGAAACAGGGTCCAATCGGTTGGTTTCTATAATGGCTCCAAGTGTTGGAAATGCAATGCTGATGGCTTTGGAAGTCTTGGGTAACTTCAAAAGCTCTTCTTTTGGAATGACCACGTGCCCAGTGATATTGGCTGTGGTATTAAACTCCATAGAAAAATCAAAGCTCTTTCCTGAAGTATTTTTATGTACACTGTAGCCTTTTGTAGAGATGAAGTGTTCCTGTATGCTTTCTGACCCATTCTTTAGAAGAAGTTTCCCAGCAAATAAATTCACCGAGTCCAGTAATATTGAACTGGCATTTCTGTCTTTTACAAAAGCCCAGTTGGAAATGACAGAGCTGTTCAGAATATGGTTTGCTATCCTGCTGTAGCTCTGAAACAAACAAGAAAAAAAAATTTTTTTTTGGTATTAAAATAAACAACTTACTATTCTACTGACAGAGTCTCCAGAAAGGCTCCTTTAAATCAAAGTTATTCTTATAAAGGGAATAATTTTCTTTGACAATGGTCCATCCTAGTCAAACTGAAACATCTCATTGGCTTAAACACTAGCAAAATTGTCCTGTTCATATCATAGTTCAAAAGATGATTGGAGAAGCAAGTATAAAGCAGGTGATATTCATGTGACTTGCAGCCACCACTTAATTGAATGCTGACTGTAAAGACAAAACACTGCATGGATGCCCTGGCAAGCTCAGAAACACCTCCTGAAAGACCATAAAAGTAAATACCTGCATTTTTCCTCTATCAACATGCGCTGATAACAGCAGGGAAATCTTCTTTAGCAATTCCACTATATCAGCAATATTTCCTGGAATGGCTGGTGAAGACAGGATATCTGGGATGATGCATGAAAAATCAGCTTGGCAGTTACTATTGCCAAGGTCATCAGAACCAAAATATTTTCCTGCATCTCCAGGCTTCCCATGCACTGGCTTTCCTTTCCCTACAAAAGGAAGGTGTCCTCCAGCCACACTAACATGTCCTCCAGAGCTTGGAAGGAGATCATGCACAGAAATCCTCTGGAGGGAGGAAAATAAATTTGAAGAAAATTAATGAACAGAGTGAAAATGAAGCTACATTTATTTTGTAGTTAAACATTAGGTGCGCTCTTACTAGCACCTAAACATTTGTACATTTATTTTGCTCATTTCAACAGCCAGGCAAGAGGTACAGTGCGGGGGCATGCAATGACTGTGCCAGGCGGCCTGAAACCCACCCAGAGACAAAGCTCACATGAGAAGAATGTCTTGTACAACACACATGAAGGAAGGTGCAAGAACTAAATGCAGTGACTCAGTCTTGAAGTGACTTGAATAAAGTTCTTTATTTTGTTGTTGAGGAGAATTTGCCATGAATTGTCTGATTATTACAGGTGTTGGCATTGCTGTCGTCTCAGGTTCATCCTAGCGTATCATTCTCTTGGTTTAGATCCCCATGAGGAGCATTAACCAAGTGAACAAGGCAACTTCACTTCTGAATTATGTTTTCACACAAGAGTTGCCCAAATTTATTTCCTATTTCTCAATTTAAGATGAAGTTAAAGCTTCTTATCAAAGTAATCTGTGTTTTAGGATCCCCCCCTTCTTCCCTTTGCTTAGGGCTGACAGTGTATAGAGGGAGGGGCTATCTTTGCAAGAAATTATGAGCATAGGTCAAAGTAGACGCATAACAGTTACCTAACCTGAAAAAGGGACTGAACATCCAGGTTTGCACAGGCATCTGTGAACATTTGCCACTTCCTGTCTTCACAGACAAAGCTTGTCTCCCCATGGAAGGAGGGAGAACAAGCCTGAATACAAATAGCTCCATTATCTTCGCAGGGAATAAGATTTATACAGTCTTCTGAAAAACAAATCAGATGTCGTTATAAGGTGTAAGACAGCATATCATGGTCTATGAGGTATCACTGGCATAATGTATTGATAACTGATAATATCTTACAAAGAGCTAACAAAGACACATAGCTATTCACTGTACCTTGCTGATTATCAGTCTCTGATTTACTGAGAACCTGAAAAATAAGAAGTAGAATGAAGATTGAATGTTAAAATAAATATGTAAAAGATGACTCATTGGCACAAGCCAGAAAGGTGTTTCCAAGGGCAAAATAGTCCTTTTGGGATTCAGAAGTCTTTTCAAGGTCCAGAACACAGAGCTCATGGCCCTTTGCTCATACAGACCAACTGACAACTCTTTACTAACAGTTTGTCTCTATATGTTAAGCTTTCAGTTGCACTCCATCAGAAAGCCTGCATTAGACTTAAGTTCTCCAGTTATTTCTCATGTTAATAAGAATGTGACTTGTTGGTGAGAATATGCAATCTATATGACTTTTGCCATAACATACAGATACAGTTCTACAAATACACATACAGGCGGGACCACTTACTGGGACTCTGTGTCATACAGCCAGGCACAATACAGAACAGGTTCCATCACTGCTTGCTCAAATGGTCTATTGTTTACAGTCAGCCAAACCTTGCTAGTCTAGAAACAAAGCTTGGCTATGCAGTGCTTGGGAATCACACTGTTATTGCTGGGTAGAGCAGACTGAATAGCAGATTTCTAACATTACAAGAGTTGTGCTGGAAGTTCCGTGGCATATTGAACATGTTGACTACCTCAAAATATTTTCTCCTGTAGTAGCAGGACAAGGGGGAATGGCTTTAAACTGAAAGAGGGGAAATTTAGATTAGATATAGGGAAGGAAATCTTCCCTGTGGGAGTGGTGAGGCACTGGCTCAGGTCACCCAGAGAAGCTGTGGCTGCCCCATCCCTGGCAGCGTTCAAGACCAGATTGGATGGGGCTTTGATCAACCAGGTCTAATGAAGCTTACCCTGAGAGCAGTGCGTGATGCAGCTGGGAAGAAGTGCACAGCCCAGAGGAGCAGGCAGTGGGCTACCCGCACATCCATCACCTCACATTTACTGCTTTGTCCCTGGAAGAAAGATATGTTAAAGAAGCTTAGATATCTCTGTTTTCACTTTTGAGCACAGTCTGCTTGCTAGTGAGAAAGCACCAAAACCCATCTATCACAAAGACTGCCCTTACTCGGCTTGCAAGGCAATTTTCAGACATTTATCATTTATTATTTTTTTTTCTGAGAATAATTTGTGAAACTTTTATTGAAAAAAAGAAATAAACCTAACACTGGAAGTTACTGCATTAATAATTTACTTGCATTACTGCAAGATGGAGAGCTTATTACAGCCATTCAACCTACAGGGCCATTTTGAAGTCATTTAGGACAGCCTCGCTCTTCTGGGTTCAACACTGCTACTCTCCTCAGGCAGTTCCCAATGAGACCAGCCATATGAGGTAGGAAGCTGGAGCCCTCAGGGCTCAGATATCAAAATCTGAGAAAGAAGGACCAGGCTGAAATAAAGTGCTATTTGCTCTGCAGGAGGATTCAGGCTTCTGCTCCCACCACCAATTTTCCCCACGGTCCTCAGTAAAAGCTTAATATTCTGGGAAGCAACTTTTTGAGGCATATTTGCTTCAGGAAGACAATCCAGTAAAGGGAATGAGGGAAAAATAACGTGTCACATCAAATCTGACTATTAGATGTTATACACGTCCAAGGTAAGTGCAATAGCTTCTGGGATTCAGAAGTAGATTAAGCCATGTACTTGAAAAAAAAAAAAAAAGTAAAAATAAAAATAAAATATAGTGAGCTAAAACACTAAAGCAAGAAACAAATGCATAGTGTCAAAGCAGGACAATGGATGGATTTCAGGAAATACACACATGAAAAGGCTCATCACATCACCATGCCTTGATAAGAGCCACTGAATTTTTCCCCTCAATACATACTGATCAGCATAGATGATGCTGAAATACAGGTGGCCATGCACTGACAGGGCAAAGATGTGTTTTTATAACCAGGAAACTCCAAGCTCTCAGTATCTGACAGCATGAAAGGGCCAGGCACACAGCTGGCTGCCCTTCATCTGTGACATTTGCTCTCCTTACTGTATTTTTAGATCTGCAGGTTTATTACTTATGAAAAGGCCATAAAAGGAAGAGCTAGATCAATGCACTGAATTTCTCTGCTAGCTCTAAAGGAGAACCTTGTGCCAACCTCTTGAATTCAACTGGAATTAGTAAAAGCATTTTCTGGGTTTAAGTTAGCAAACATTAGTTCTTCTAAGGAAATGAAGTGGATAAAAAGTGAACTGAAGACTCGGATCAATATTCCTTAAGAACAGGAGGCAGCTGGGAATCACCTACAGGTTTGAAGCAAAGGGTTGTATCAAATTATTTTCCGGTTTCTGCAGCCATTAAATGTTTACTGTGTGCTCATAGCCCTAATCCCATTTCACAGCTGGGAAACCTTGAGCTCATCATGTTTCATCATTAATATGTATTCAATCTGTATTTAATCACTGATGCAACTCCACCTAGGGCTGTTACCTTTACATGAGGTAGAAATCTGGGACAACTCCAGGTATTTAAGGCTCACCGAGTTACTGGCCCATGTTACCAGTAAAACACTGATCTCGCCCAGTTACGCTGCTTGACTCGTTGTGGAAATCACTTGGCCTCACCACTACCAGAACGTGCCAAGGTAACTACAGTACAGCAACAGAAACTTAGAGCAAAACAAGTATTACAGCAGCAAGTCACTGTCACTTCAGGGAAAAAAAATGGATTTACTGACATAAGGCCATGTGGAAGCATATACAGCTATTTCTCTCCCTCCAGAACTATCATCCTCCCTCTAATCATAAACTACTGCCATTGATGTCTCCATTTTTAAAAAGCTGTAAACACATTACTCCTCTCTCCCAGAGATTTTTGTTCTATCAGGACACAGGCAGATAAGCAGCTGAGTTGTCAAAACCCTCTCACGTGGAAGGCACTTTCTAGCAAGAGAACACTTCCATACCCTCAGATATCTTCCACTCAATTCAGAAGACTGTCACCAGCTGCCCATCCTCCTTCCGCAGCTCATTTCATTTGGCCACAGCCCCCCAGGGGGGCAAAGCCCTCAACAAGCGTGAAAGTGAGGAGTGAGGCAGTGCGGCTAGGCAGTGTGAGGAGAGAAAGAGAGAAAAAGCCTCATAAACCAGTAAGAAATAGGAAAAAGATCATGTATGTGAAAAGTAATCCTAATGTTGGTTAACATATCACAGCCTTAAATTCAGAGACCTTACTCCATGACTTCTGTTGGTTTAAAAGCAAAGTGCTTTGTATCACACCACAAAACTATCCCTCCTTTTCCTCTACCTTAAGCACTTTATTGTCTTTATTCCCAGTTTAATTCACAGTTCTGAGAGCAGAGTGATCTTTACAGTAACTTTAGCTATATGAAAATTTCACATTTTCTTACAAGTGACAACACCGTCATTAGAGACCAATTACAAAATGACAAGCAAAAAGATCAGAGGATAATTAAGATAGCTAGTTATTTCCACAGACAAAAGAATATAAAACTGAAAAAATAAATGCAAAGTAAATACAACCTAAGTAATTAAGTACATTTCACATTATGAATAAATCAGTTTCACAAAGCACTGATATATTTCAAGCTGTTCTGGGAGAATGTTGTTTTGGGATAGTACTCACTGTTTTGAGAAGTCTGGGTTCTACTGTAAGCAAAATTAACACAGCCGGAGATTCTCAAGATATCCCCTGCAAGCGTCTAACCATTCACCCGTTGCCATTATGCTCCAGCCTCAGTCTCACGGTCTTACCCAGTGTTGCTTGGGTGCTCTGATTCATTTAATTTTCCCATGAAGAAATAACCTTGGGCATCAGCCTACTTCTTTTCTTGCCTGACTGGATTAACACTGAGGAACCTTCATATGACAATATAGGTATTGCACTGCAAAATGACAAAACAAGTTACAAACACACCCACAAAGCTGCCAAATCACTGTCTTTGCCAGGAGTCCACACAGATTAATCACACCTGTGTGGTTTGTACCCTTCCTCCTGGTGGAGGCCGCACCTTCTGCTCTTCTGTATTTAACAGATCATAGAATCACGCAATGGTTTGGGTTGAAAGGGACCTTAGAGATCATCTAGTTCCAATCCTCCTGCCACTGAGGAAGGGACACCTACTAGACCTGGTTGCTCCAAGCCCCATCCAACCTGGCCTTGAACACCTCAAAGGATGGAGCAGCCACAGCTTCTCTGAGCAACCCTTTGCATTGTCTCACCACCCTCACAGTAAAGAACTTCCTAATATCTAATCTAAATCTCTCCTCTTTCAGTTTAATGCCATTCCCCCTTGCCCCGTCACTACTTGTTCTCATAAAAAGTCCCTTTCCTTCTAAAGGCCAAAAAAATTTCATTATCAAAATCTGATCAACTTAACATATTACCCTTCATAAACCAAAGATGACATTACTGACAATATCTTGCCCAGCTGAAAAGCTCAATGAGCAAGTAATTTTGTTCAGGGGCTGCACCCATCAAAAGAAGCAAAAGCTGTCTGCTGAACCTTGTGCTATGTTTGCTGTCAGCTTATTCAATACTGACTCACCTCTAATAGGCACACTTCCAATTACCAGGAATTTACAACAAATTGTTTATCCTAACAGAAGAGCAATTCTGAACATCTTTCTACTCATAGGGCTGCTTTGAAAGAGCTTTGGTCACTTATCTTTCCACAGTCCTGAAATGCATTTGTCATGAGCTTACAGGATTTCCTGAGATAATTCCCACCAGTCCTCAGACACAAAGTAGGTCTCCACTGTCAGCCCAAAGGCAGATATTTACTGTTCTGTTTTGATACAGCCAGAAACAAGATTTCTTTTCTGCATCGCACATTGGTATCAAGTAGGAATTAAGCCAAGCACAATTAGGCACAGCCAACACAACCTGGAAAGGATATATGATCTGCACTTGAAACAATACTGGGTAGAGGTGAATTAAAAGGTGGCATCTTAGTAATTTTTTAAGGGTGAAACACCAGATCATGTCAAGGTATAGATACCTGTTTAAACGGCTTCTTCCCTAAACACCTGGGTTTGTGCTTCTACACAGTCCCTGAACCTTTGCTACAATGGCAAGACTGAATACCCCTCTATTCTCAAACAACTCCTCAACCTAAGCAATAGTTCCCTGAAGGACATGAAGGCTGGCATGCTTCAACACTAAGAGCATCCCAGAAGGAAGAGGTGTGAATCTGTGCTCCCCAGGGGGCTTAGAAAGAGATTCAAACCATGACTTCCAACAAGCAAGAAGTGTACTCTAAACCCTGAACCCAGCACCAGCACTCTCATACTTTACGAGCTGTAGAGGAAGTTTGCAATGTTTAAGGTGGGAGGTATCTGCCTGAGCACCCAAAAGAAGTGGTATGTCTTCAGCTCTTGCAAAATCCAGTTACCCAAGATATATGACCAGCTGCTTTGTCACTGCTCTGAGAAAACACTCAGCAAGCAGGAACATCCCAGATAATTTTAATAGCGGCTAAAAGTAAGGCAGTTGTGACTGAATTTATCATTTCCTTTGAAAAGCACTAACAGACTCCTGCTAATTTATGACTTTAATGAATACAAGTTATTTATTTACAAGTTCAACAGTTACTTTCCTACACAGCTTACAGTCAAATCTTGCTATATGTGCTACAGGTTTCCATCAGAAACTTCATTCCCCTGAAGCAACATTAATGTAATGAAAAATGTTATCTGTGTGGTGACTTTAAATAAAAAAAAAAAAAGTAGACCTGTAGGATGGGGATTTTTTTTCCCCAAAAAGCAAAACAAAACAAAAAAATGTACTTTATATGCAAACAAAAGCTTTTTAGGGAATGTTATAAAGATTGAATAAAAACCTTGCAGTTTATAGATGCTCCATTGTTCTATTCTTCATTTTTCATTTCCTTCACCCATACCCCTTTTAAATATGCCTAAGAGTCTTCAGTTCTTCACCCCATATTTAAGAGGTGAATCAAACACGCATTTATCCATGTTAGTCAGTGGAAATGAGGATCTTAAAAACAGGCTCTGAAGATGCAGAGTAAGGGTAGTTCAGTAACACCAACAATGGAAAAGAAGTAAAAAAGGAATAAAGAAATAGTTAACGGAGTTAACTAAGACATTAAGATTCCCAGTTACATTTGTGAAGAAAACCAGGAAGCGTGCCAGGATCCTAAGCCATCCTGACAGTAAAGAGCATTCCAGTGAATAAATTAAAACTGAAAGCCTCAAAGGGGGACTATCTAAATCATAATACACTTTGATTCTATCCTCCAAACTCCTGCAAAGAATTTAACAGCATAAGAAAGATTCCTGAACAGAACTGAGCAGACATTTCAACAGGTTTTTAAACTTGTTTTATTTGCTGAGTTTGGATAGCATGCATTATTTTACAGCACTGGTAAACAAGTCAGTGAAGCATACTGCTTTTAGGAACTTGTCCTGTGGAATGTCTTCAAAACCGTTACCCTTTACCCCTCCACTCTAGTACATAACACTAGCTGAAGACAAGACAGACATATATCAGAGCAACTTCCTTATGGCTGAAAATACTCATAGCAGCGACTTTTAAAGGAGGGTTTTATTAAATCAAGTCATTGCACTTGGGTCATTTATTGCTATAGCGAACAAAGGCCATTAAATAATGAACATCTTTCATTTATGGTTTTAACTGATTGTCTTGCTGTGTTTATCTGCTAGAAGCTTACACATAGACACAATCTCTGTAGAGCAATCCATTCCAAGATTTATTTCATGCTCTAAGCAATCACAGTGAAGAGCTTGTATAACAGAAATGGCTATTCCATTAGGCCAAATTCTTGCTTTTCATCACTTGACTTAGAGGCATGAATTCTAAGAGTTTAGAGTCTGACAAGAAGCATTACTGCTGCACATCATTCCTCAATACAAAAGATCTGGCTCAAGTCTTCATTTATGATGCATTGCTGCAATTAAAAGTTAAAAGCATTAATCAGCTTATTAGCAATGTGACTAGCAAATATTACTTAATACCTGCATAGTATATGAAACAAATTTTATGAATAATTTAAATTAGTAACTGACAAACATGATTCAATTGCCTTTTTGATGTTTGTATTTTAGGATGCATCAACTGTGGGAAAATATACTCTCAAGTAATAATACTTCCATGTCACAGCTCAAGTGACATGCTAAATAATTACTATATTTATGACTATTCCCATGAATAGAAACATAATTACTTCTTTTACTGGTGAATTTGTCAAAATATGTCACATGTTTTTGTCGTTTAAATTCTAGTAGACTAGAAAGAGATAAGGTGATTATTACCCAAAGTAATGCATTTGACTGGCTTTCTAAAGCTGTATGCTTTTTTATTCTTTAATGAAATGAATGCAGCAATAAATATTATTGTCCTCCATCACCTGGTTTGGTTTTTTTTTCAGTATAGTTCTGGTGCACTGTGTTAAGCTCAGGGGTTAAAGATAATGACAATCCACAAGATTTCAACAGTTTTCCATAAAACATGAAAGACACTGTCTTCGACACTAGCACAATGCCGTCAAAGCAATTGTTCCAGTCACTCATTAAAATACAAAGATGTTATTAAATTTAGAGGTACACAATATACGGCAAAAGTTTGTGGCATAAATATATAAATATTGAGACATTTTGAGAGTATCAAAGTTCCAAAGGGATTTATTTGGAGACATATTATAAACAAAACCTGACTATTGTAAAAACAGATCATGATACATATTTAACCACTAGAAAGACTGATCACTTCAGTTTAGA